GAGGTTTTGTAGAGATAATACATCGAAAGCTTTTGAAGTTCATAGACAAAGAAATGTACGGATCCTGGGACAATCTAATTACCTAGAGTAAATGACTAGACCACTATATAATAATCAGTAGTAAATTCTCAGTGCCCTTTCTGAGGATGTTGCATAGCAGTTCAGCATGCAATAACTAAACTGAAACAGAAAATCGAAAGTCTAGGATGTATTTTCCTAAGTATACTAAATATGTATTTTCCTTAATATAATTAAATATATTTCTACAAAATGAAGATATATTTTATGGTAAGTTTTAATAAATACTATCCTTCTGTACTCTCTGTGGTCATATGGGACCTCTCACTTGAAACTTTATTTTTTTCTGCTTTGCTTTAGTTCTTCTGCACGATGTAAGAGCTCAGGGTACTGCAGGATTAACAGAAATTGTTTAAATCCAGTGTAGTGACAGTCTCAGGGTTCTCATACAATTCCATTGCTGCTTCTTGTTTTTAATATCTTCACCACATATGGAAACCAGAGCCTGGAGTTTGTATCACTAGATTTTCAATCCTGACCTAGGATTAAGAGATAAAAGTGTCAAATATCAGTATTTAGAGCAATTGGCCTTTTTTCTAATTCTACTATCATACATAGCAATTTCACTTAAGCTTATTTTTTGAAATATCCACTATCAATGCAAAAAAGATATATGCGAAAAGATGCCCTGTATTAGCAGCAGTTGCCCTGCTTCTGCTTGAAAGCTAAAGTAAAAAAAAGAATGAGCCTATGAGAATTGGTCCTATCTTCTGTTTATGGAGCACAAACTAGATTAACTCATTTGATAAAAATAAGTAAAAAAAAAAAAAAAGCTTCCAAAATACAGCTGCTGTGAAGCCAGTAGAAAACTAACTCAGGTTTAATGCTTCCCTTCAATGCAGTGTACACGTTCTTTCAGGAGTAAATTTTGCAGTAAATTGCCATATTTTTGTATGGAAGCTAGAAGACCAAGTATCTCAGTGTTAAGGATTTTGAAGCATAGAGTATCTACTATACCACTAATGAATATTTATATTTCTCTGAATCATTCATTTTAATTCCCAAGGATGCTTACTTTTACCTATATAAAATTCTCGGGTATTTTTTTCTGATTTCCCCATTTCAATTTGAATAATACTACGCATGTAAAGATTTATTGGCTTAGTAACTGCTTTTCAAAATACTTAGCATTAGTTGACTTTAAAATGTGATTTTTTTCATCTAAGTTTTATTTTTGTCCACCAGAAAGACAGCAACGGCAACAACGATTGCTCAGGGTTTGAACAGTGTGAGTGACTCCAAATATAAAATGTCATTCAGGGAAAACTATTGTCTAATATCAGGTCAGAAGTAAAACACATCCTGCGAGACGTTCATTGCATCACCACAGTCGTGGCTTCACAATAAAACTGTTCTTGCCAAATGGTGACAGAGTACTGCATGTGGACACCTTCCAAAATAAACCTAGGATACAGAATGTAGAATTGTTCGTTCTAATCTCCTTCCTCTGGATCTGTGAAAAGGTTCCCTGCATACGGGTGCCACAGACAATCTGTATGAGTGTAAGGGCAATGGCAGCCAAGGTCATGATCTGTTTCTGTTTGCTCCCTGAGCCAGTGAGAGAGACTGAATTTATCCACGTGTGCAAGCATATGCACTCTCACACATACCACTCATCTTCCCAGTAGGCAAAAGGGTGTATGTGACAGCGTGACTCATTCTCCTGGCACGCTGTATACACTTTATACCTACACCTGTTTCAGGCTAGTTCAAAATATTTGCCTTCAGCTCTTCCTGGGGGAACACAAAGATCAGACATCAGTAAGGAAGAGCACGATTCGACTGCCAAGCCCTCTCCATCACCAAGAGGCAGAAGGGAAAGACATGTGCACCTCTGGCACCCACTCTTTAATTCACACGGTATCACATGCTTGGTGTAGCCTGATACAGTCACATTTTGTCCTTAACTTGAGGTCAATAAAAAAGAATCAGCCAGAAAGAGCAGAATGTAATTACCAACATCCCTCCATTCTGCTGAGGTGGAAAAAAACCCCCACCAAACCAAAACCGAAAAACCCAAACCAAAAGCAAACAACTGGGTTTATTTGCTAGTGAAAATAGTTCTTTAGGAACCAAATTATGTTGACTCTGGAAAATGCATTGTAAATATTTATGTGCTTAATGAATGTGTTTCAAATGTGTTCACTACCTTAAAATATCCAAAAAAACAGTGGGGCTATATTCAGAGGCAGAGAAAACTTCCATTCAAGTTCAGTCTGAAGAACAAGAGGTCAAAAAGCTGCATGTGGAGCAGCAGTTGCAGGAATCCTCATTGCACAGGCAGTTGAAAACAAGCGCCATCTTCATAAATGTAATATTTTGGGGAACCGAATTCAACTTTGTTGTAATTAAGTTCTCCCAAATCTATGGGAGCCTCCATTATTTCTGCCGGGCTCGAGAATGTTATAGTAAGTATATCTAACTTCCCAAATCTCTCCTTCTGTCATGAATAATATATACAAGGCTCCCAACAAGCACTTGCTGGATATGAGCTTGATTTTTTTTTTTTCTTCCCATTTTTTATGTTCTTCAGTGGGGGAATAGAATAGCTAACAACTTAAGCTGCATTGTGTAGACTTGCCTCAGTGAGCTCTGAGCCAGAAGCAGAAGTAATTAGTCCATACAGATATCCATGCTCCTTCCTTTAAAGGAAGCTAATAATTCCTTTAAAACTATCTCTGCAGAATGTGTCCTCACAGGGTCTTACTGTAAAGGTACGGCCACAGCTCCACCCTCCTTTCCCCTGCAGGCTACTTCCCTGGGACAGTGCCCACTACCTGTACTAAGGACTCTGCAAATAGTAACGCTCATATATTGTATAATAAATATCACAGAAAAAAAATGTTCTCTGCAAACACTGAATAGAACTGTAAAAGAAGGGAAAGTACACTGTTGAATGAGCTAGGAAGAATAAGCTAATGAGCTAGGAAGAATAAGCTATTCTCCCTGACTCTGTATTTTCTAGTTTCAGACAAAATTCTTCCCCCTTCTGTCTGTCTTGTTTGCATGCCTGTTGCCCGTTAAAGAAATGGCATCGTTGCCACCCCTCCTGTTCCCGGTCTATGAAAATACACAGGCACTGCTAAAGAACACCCAAGAAAATGGTAGGTCTGCACCTCCTAGAAAATTTCCATAACTCAGTAATCTTTATAAATTTTACATTTGCATGCTTGCAGTAGTATTTCATGTTTTGCATAAATATCAGTCACGATATTGCTTCCTCTCTTTTTGGATCCTGAGAGACCTCAACCTTTGCTGAAAATAGTCATCTCTTATTTTGAGTGAAAATACGTTCAAAACACCATACGGCAGTTTTTAACAGAAACAAAGTAACACAAACCCCACGCTTTTCCTAGCAATTATACTAATGAATTCAGACTTAACTAAGATCCCATGAGATTAATTCCTTGAATCGCTAATCTACATGGAGATGCTGTAGTCTTGCATAAACTTTTCAAGTCAACTGCAGTTGTTGCCTGTGGCTTTGGAGTAGAAGCTGCCTGCAGCACACGCCATGACAACTGAAGGATGTAGAGCAGGGTCTCTTGCAAAGCCAGGAGGGTTCGTCGTGACCTTCTTGTATGACCTGCTGTGGATCCTCCTCTATGGGTTTCAGCACGTCCCTGAGCAAACTGATCTCTGAACTACAGCTTAAGTTTTAAGAAAGGATACCAGTCTTGGTTATAAAATTTTAGAATAATAGAAAATCCTTCATAATGTTTGGTAAGTGGTTCCACTCTTGAGAAAATGCACCTTATTACTAAACTGTATTTGTCTCATTTCAGATTTTGTAATTACGGGCTGCAACTAAATCCCTTCCTATCTAGTACACATTAGCACCTAGTGCTGTTCACATCCCAACCAAGGCTCCTAGATGTCAGCTGAAGTGCTAACAAAGAAAGAAAGGGTATGTCGGAAGTGTTGGGTAAGATGCCACGCAAAACATTATCAAGCGGCAGCAAACAGATATTGCTTATCAGGCAGCAATGCCAACAAAACACCAACAGTTTGGACAACTACCACTAATGGGGAGTTACAAGAAAGACAAATTTATTTAATGGCGCCTGTGGGGGCTGAGTTGCTGGCTATGCGTGTCACAGGGTAACTTCTCGTGTGCTTTAGTCAGCATTATTAGCTTTTGCAATTCTATCACAGGTCTTGCAACACCAGCAGTTTTTCTTGAAGCACTAGTTACCAACACGTAGTAAGTAAGGAAGATCAAGATCCCATTTTTTAAAGCCAATGACTATTTCTGCTTGGCGCAGGGTAAAGCTTTAAGAGATGAAACAAGCTGCTTTGGGGCTGCTAACGTTTTTCGGCCAATACCACGGCTACGGTGACTCAGTTTTGAACGCCTCCTCGGCAATATTGGCTCTGTACAGAAAACTTCCAGCGGACATCCCGGCTTGGCACCTCCCCAGCGCTCACCCTCTGCGGCTGGATCCCGCCGCAGAGAAGCAGCGCCGGCGGCCGCGCCGGGAAAACCGGCCGGGCCCGCCAGGGGTTTCTTTCCGTTCTCCCCGATTACGAACGAAACAGGTTTCCCTCCGGGGAAGGCTGTAAGTGCCCCGGCAGCCTCGCACGGCCCTCCGCAAGACCCTCGCCAGAGCGGCACGGACTCCCCTCAGAAAACGCCTCAGCTTTCCCGCGCTTCCCCTCACGCCAACGGCTCCCAGCGCCATCACGTGACACACACCCCCCTCCCGCCCACCTCTCACTGCTGGCCCACTTCCT